TATATATGTGTATATTTTTAAGATAGAATGTAAATTCAAATATAACTCAAAACCTTTTTAACTTATTGAATTTAAACAAAACTGGAAAAGGTTTACCTATTAAACAAAAAGAAACAGCAGACATTAATTATACACACTCATACACCGCAGAAGTAATTAAATTTCCATTTGGAAAAGTTCGATGTGGGAGTAATTATGTAGATGAGTTTTAACTTTATATTTGCAACGAGTAACAGGTATTCGACACAATCGAGCAACATTTAATCAATTAAGAGATAATAAAGTTAATAAATGATTCTGTGAGATTATTTTCTTCCACTTTATCTCGTCAAAGAAATTATGATTAGAAATGATAATTTTGATGAATGCAAATTATCAAGTTTCTTATTAGGAGCTTGTTGGAGTTTAATAAGTTTTTTTTTAACTTGAAGTGGAAGTATTTTTTGGATGTTTATTATTATGAAATCAGTGGGAATATTATGTCTGCTAACTTGTTGAGGTATCAGATATTTAAGAGACAGTCTGATGACTGGCCTGTTGGGTTAGTGGTTAGTGATCCTGACTGCTAAGCCTGAGGTCAAGGGTTCAATTTCCACCTAATGCAAATAATTTTGTGATGAGCACGATCATTAGATCTGTGTCTGGCTTTAATTATCTATAGTATGTAGGTAATTTTTATAAATACATACATACATATGCTTATCAGCATAACGGTGGTCATAATACGGTTTTTGTATTTGATGGCCGTAAATTTACCAAGATCTTTTAAAGATTATATATCAATCTCATATTTGATAAACCTTTTCTACTTGTCAGAAGAACAGAGAAAATGTTCAGTCTGTCTTTCTAACTAAAGATCGATCTTGTTGTTAAATATAGTGCACGATTGTATCTCACGGTTAGGCGAACGACCGACATAAAGTCTTAAGTCGGAATCGAATTTTATTTTATAAAAGTGGACATTATTTTTATAAAAATAGAGTTTTAAGTAAATAAACAATAAATATATCGATAATAATATAAATCGAAATCTTACAGATATCATTTACCATTGAAGGTTTATTTTCATATCTACATTTCAAACGTGTGTGATAGGTTACATTTTAAATACATAATCAATTTATTTAGCTTATTTACAAATATTTTGTTAAAATAGGGAAAAGTAATATATATTAAGTAGTGGCGATAATCCTCTTTTTGCTCGCTAACTCCAATTGCCAGTCCCTAATTTAGCTAGCTCTAGTAAATATAAAATAATGATAATTATATATAATGATAAAAATAATGATTTTGTATTGTAACAGCTGTCATTAAATCTTTCTAAAAACGAGTCCTAAAACAATATATATTTCTTAACCCTTGTTCCGAAAGTGGTGTCAAATTAAATCTATATATATATAAGAGATTTCCACGTATATAGTCACTCATCACGATACCTCTGGAACCATTAGAGCTAAAGACTTGAAATTTGGCAGGAATATTATTTTCACCGAGTAGAGGTCAGCTAAGAACGGATTTTAAGTTTTTTTTTTTTTATTAAATAATGTAAATAGCAAAACAACGTTTGCAGGGTCAGCTAGTTAATAATAATTACTTCTGTCTACCTCTTCACGGATATAGTGAGTTGCGTGAGTTGTTCCAAAGTTAAGGAACACAAACGTCTGCTGTCATCGATTATGGCTTTGAATACAAAATTCATTTTCAAAGTTTTTTTTTTTCATCATTAAAGTCCAAATAATTCATGTCAGTGTTTAATGTTGACCAATGGTTTGACATGTTTGTAAGATCGGCTTTGGTCCTTTGTATCTTAATAAGAATGTACGTGATTTACCGAAACCAATTTCGGTAACATTGCCCGAAGGATCTTGTTGATTTTATTCAATTTTATTATGTTTATTTAGTAATTGGTTTTATTGCTACTTTCAACATGCCAGTCCTTAACGACACATTTAAATAAGCTCATGTTAAGCTAAAGGGCAGCATTCTTTGGATGTTCTATTATTTTCACCCCTCTGCTTATAATCATTATAAATTTTCCTAATTGTTTTTAACTTTGAAAGTTGTGTTTCTCATTAAGTTCTGTATAGTACTCTTTTTTACACTCGTAATGGTTGGTAGTTACTTTTTCTACTCATTTCTCTTCTTATTATGAGAAAATGCAAAATATTAATACTACTAGAAATGCCTGAAGTCTCTCAAACATAACAAGCTTCTAAGATTACCTTGTAAAAAAATAAACTTAGTTTATAAGAAAGATGGTTAAAATTTGCCTATTTGAACTGTTTATTCTCTTTATATTATTATACTTTGATATTTCTATTATAATCATATAATTAGTGCATAGGTTTTGTAACTTAAAACTTTGTACTTTCAAATAAACACACAGATCTTCAACATCCAAAGATTTGACTGAAAGAAAATGCCTGTGGCATTTAATTCGCTTTAACAGGCAGTTTAAAAAATTAATGTGGGTACTTACTAACTTAAACTATTTATAAAAAAACTATTTGACATGTGAAGATGACATTTGTCCAAGACTACCTCTATGCCTCCTTATGAGTAGGAGACGTCAGCAAATAATGGATTTTGTAACATGGCTGGATTCAGCAGGTAAAGGGGTTACGCAAATGTGTATGAAAGACCTTAATCTCGGTACAAGAGTTCGTTTATTGTAGAACATATAAGTTCAGAATCTATTTTGATGGCAGATATTTCAAAGACACATGCTTTACAACTTTAAATCTACTGACTGAAACCTGTTGTAGAAATATATTTTTTTTTTTTTTTGGTTTTCTGTTTATAGATGTTTGCAGAATTAATAGTAAACCAGTTCAAAAAACAACTAACTTTACATATGTATGCTACAAAATAATACAATTTTAATCGTACGAAGTCGTGGCTAGCGGCTAATTTAAACATTAATTAAAAACCTACATTTATTTTGATAGACAGTTTCCTTTATTCAAAAAGCACAAGTTCTAAGATATATTAAAATGGAGTATCATGGTACTTAATTAATATTGTCACTGAGAGTTCCCAGATTAATGAGTTCACGACAATAGCCCTGTGATAGGGGAGGGATAACTTTTGTTGCGGTGGTAGTTCAACATAAGCTAACCCTATTCAAATGCATGGCTATTTAGTTTGTAATAAGAAAGTTGTGTGTTAGGGTATTGAACAATAGAGTTATGAAAGTTCCTTTGAAACATTGTTTAGACTTGACATTTAAATAATAGCCAGAAAATAATCAAATGCGTAGGTTTAATTCAATAACATTTCTAAAATCAATATAGTCAACAATATACTTTAACTAAATGCTATTCTAACGGTTATCAAACTCAAAACACCTTTAAAAAGGGAACTTTAGAATTATGAAATAATAAATAAAGCCCTCTCGTAACTATTACCTAAGTAATGGTTACGAGGGGCTCATGGCTAAGGGGAACCGAGTAAGTTAACGCATTGCAAAGTTAAGCAATCCTAGCCAGGTCAGTATATGTATTGGTGACCATTATTTACACATTGAACCGCTTCGTGCACGTTGAGCCGTCGGTCCCGGTTGCCATAAGAACATCTGTGGCATTCGTTACGGGTAGTTGGATCCCTAAAAAGTCCGGCAATAGTCTTCTTACAGAACTTCAATATTGCCTAGTACTTGGGCTGTGAAGGTCTGATGGCAGTCGAAGTTCAACCGTATCGCAGTAGACCTAAAGTCGACCCCAATCTAGTTTGTGAAAAAGGCTCGGACGAAGAATTGGGTAATAGTTAGGCCGCCTCCGTATCATAGTTGCGGCAAATAAATACACCAGTGGTGTAACAGCACATCAGTTCAACATACGCGAGTTGTGTTCTACTGATTGTTTTCTTAATAAACGATAGGGCGACGGAACTTTTGATCGACGAATGATAGCGCGACACTGACAAAAACTGCAGCAATAGTATAATCATAAAAATAAAAAAACTGAAATCATCAGTCATTAGTACGGACGGTCAATTGAAGATGAGTCAGTTACACCGATCTCGAAACGGGGTGGAGTCTTCATTACCTTAAAGAGGCGGGGATCATGTACCCGTGTGTGCATTAAAATTTTCCAAGTAATTAATTGAAAAGAAAAGTCCAGTGACATCAACTAACTTATGTATACATACAAGAATATCTGATTCAGAATCTGGAATGTTCTTTAAGACTTTAAATAAGTTAAGGTTAACTACATTCTTCATTGTCAAATTAAATTATCATTTTTTCTAATAGTTATTATGTTTAAGATCTTTATTGTTTAATTAGGAATGTTAAGCGAAGCAGAAGTTAAAGTGATGTAATCAAAGCAGTGACATATGAAGATATCAGCACGTTTGGCAGCGTGCGCAATCAGGCACACTAATTTGAAATGATAGCAAACATCAATATTGTTTATGTGGTTATAATGAGGAAGTCCGAATGATGTGTTCAACTTTAGGAACATAAGGTGGTATATCAAATTAAAATAGTTCAAGAAAATATTTTTTTTAATATCTTTCATATTTTTCTAAATTCGAAACAAAAATAGTCATTTATTCATTTGAAAATAGAAAATGTATTCAAACATAAAAAAAAAACACAATCGACACAGAACAACTTACTTTCTAGGAAAGTCAGTAGTCAACTAGTGTTATTTAATTATGTGCCTATATACCTGGGAATAAAAGTAGTGTGGTCTAGCTACGACTTTACACGGTTAATTTCCTTCAAAAACTAGGCGGCTTGAATGGGAATATAAATCATTCATAAGGCCTTTCAAATACCATAATCAGTTTGTTCTAAAATAAAACGTATGTGTGACTCATATCGAGTGCCTGTAACTGTGTAAAGAAAAAATATATTACTGATTGTATATTTCTTTGTCTCAAGAACCAGATATTTTCTTTGCAGCTTTACATAAATGTATTCCTAAAATATAATATCATAGTACATCTCTCAGTTTATAGAAAATGTAAACAGCGGTGATAGAAATAGCATCGGTATGTTGAATGCAGCTGTAATGACGGTGCGGGACGTCGCCGTGTTCACAGATATGCGCAATTTCAAAATTAATACTACAATGAAGGAAGAGGCTTGCACCCAACCGGGCACCATTATGACCACAAAACTAATCAAAGCGAGTAAATTGAATTTAATATTGCAAGCTACCGCCCCGTCGTCGTCTGCGCCCGCTGAGAGTCACAGCGACACACCATGTAGATTATGATTTATGGTTTGACTAAAATTATATTCTAGCTTGCCAATTTTGTACTCAAACATCTAGATATTTTTGCTAAATATTTTTTTGTATAATATAACTTTTTAGTGATCATTATTGTAAAATATGGTTAATATTTTAGTTTAGTTTAATTGAGGTTTAATCGATACGGCCTTCAAATCTTCAAAAAAAAACATCGCAAAGACTAAACAAGGGCAATAAAGGCTAGCAATGTCCTTTTAAAACTCTAGTTGCAAGTGTCCATAGGTGATTTGGTGGCCCATATAAAAAAAAAAACCAGATAAATAAAATATTTCAAAATGTAGTGGGAACTTTGAGGAGTTATTTGAAGATAACTTATGAGATACCATAAAAAAAGATAATTAGATAAAGCTTATTAGGATATATTCTAATCGTATGATATACATATAAGATATATCCTAATTATTTATATAAATAAAACTGATTTTGTTTGTTTATATGTTACGCTTTTAAATTTTAACTTAACACTTTTAACCTGATTTTGCTAATGATAACAGTTTTGACTAATTTCTTAGGTCTTCTTAATTCCTCCATATTAATTTTATTACCATATAACAGATTCGTCATCAATATCGGCTTATCGCAGTCTACATAAATACTGGACATAGGCCTCTCCAACTGACTGACGTCACTTTGATCGATTTTCGGCTTCTCGCATCTGGATGCGATGTAGGATCTGGATCCCGCATTCCATATTGCACAAATCGTCACTCCACCTAGCCAATGGGCGTCCTACCCTTTTTTTTTTTTTTTTTTTTTAACGTGTGGGATTTCCACACGTTAAAAAACCCTCGGACCGTCACCCCACCGGGGTTTGCGGCGGGGTGGTGTGTCAGACTCGGACCGACTAAAACCACACGGTGTGCCACTCTGCGCCTGTAACAGGAGGGATCCGGGAACAGCTGTTGTTAAGACATTCGGACCTCTCCTAGCGCCAGCCCGCTCCTGGTGCGGGCTCCGTCTCAATATTTTCCTCTCTTTAGGCGACGTCCGGCACACGCGGATGCCGCCCCCTCGCGGCCTTCCAAACTAATGCGGGTGGAGGGAAATCCACCCCGTCCACCCGCGGCCACACTCAGGGCGGCATGAGGCGGTGATAGGCGCGCCTCCGCCGCCCGGTTCGCCGTCCGTCGGATCGGGTCCGAGTGGAGGTCGTCCTCCCGGGCCTTCTCCGCCGCCTCCTTCTGCGAGATTACTTCCTCGCAGAAGGTTGCGACCGCGGTAAAACAACTGTCGCTACCGGCCATGGAGCGTACTACGGCCGGTAGCGAGAGATCCACTCCGATGACTGCAGTGAGGGCCCGGCGCTGCGTCGTCCATGCGGGGCAGACCGCTAGCGTGTGCTGGGCCGAGTCCTCACTGCAGTCGCAGTGGTGGCATGCGGGACTCAGTTCCCTCCTAGCGACCGAGTGCAGGTACTTTCCGAAGCAACCGTGCCTGGAAAGCACCTGCGTCAGCCGGAAGGAAAGGGTCCCGTGCTGCCGCCCTGCCTACTCGGCGATGACCGGCTGGAGAGCCTCCACGGCGGCGAAGCCAGCGCGTGGAGTCTCCAGCCGGAACGACCAACGAGCCATCGTGGCTCGGCGAGCGGCTTCGCGCCACTCGCGCACATCCTCGGGCGGAGGGCGAAATCCGCTCTCCGCCCGGGAGTCAGCCACTCGCCGATAAACTTCGGCGAGCACTTCCGCCTCCAAATCCCACGGGGGTGTTCCGGCCGACGAGCACGCCACCTCCGTCGAAACGGTGCGGTAACCGCGTATGGCTCTGACCGCCATTACCCTCTGAGGGCGCCAGAGGCGTGCCCTATTCTGGGCGGTCAGAGCCGCCGCCCACACCGGTGCACCGTATAATGCCATTGACCGGACAACCCCCGTGTACAGCCGTCTTGTCGCGACGCTGGGTCCACCCAAATTGGGCAAAAGTCGCCCTAGGGCAGACGCAGCGCCGACCAGCTTTGGAGCAAGCTGTCGGAAGTGCTCGTCGAAGAGCCACCTCCCGTCGAGGATCAGGCCCAGATATTTCATCTGGGCCCGAACCGGTACGAGGACCGAGTTGACCACGATTGAGGCGCCAGGGGGTGGACCACGACGGGGCCCATGAAATAACAGGGCCTCCGTCTTATCTAGGGCCACCCGTAAGCCCAGCGCCTAAATGCGCCCGACCACCAGCGAGACTCCCGTTGTGGCCAGGCGCGCCGCCTCTTGGAAGTTTGCCCCTCGGGCTGTCACCAGGGTATCGTCTGCGTAACAGATTACACCCAGCCCGGGGGGGGAAATCGGCGCGAAGGGCCCAGTCGTACCCTATGTTCCACAAGAGGGGTCCAAGAACAGACCCCTGTGGAACACCGCACGACATGGGCCGACACCTCAAATATGGGCGTCCTACCCTAGATTAGCCTATAAAAAAAAAAAAAAAAAAAACCGTTAGTATTAATAGTTTCATTTTTTAGGTTCAAACGGTTAAAAGACGGTTAAGTGGCAGGAACTCTATTTCTGAAGGAGAGATGGGTGCTTAGCAGTCTTAGAAGAGGGATTTTAGACGGAATTAGCCTCAATGGGTATTAAAATCGAGAAGTTTAAAGTTTTAATTGTACAACGTCAAATTTGAACAGTACTGAATCATAAAGAAGCAAACGCAGAACAATAAGCTCTAAGTACTTGGTTCCGTTCGCAGACTCATTCATTCCGTATTCAGATAGTTTAATTGGGATGCTGTCTTGCATTTAGAATGCAAGCAACGTCTCACTCCAGTAAAACGTGGCTCCGCTATTGGTGGAATGTAGAGTTGATTAAGCCAGGCCAAACTTTTGTTTATCATTTTGATCGAATTAGAAGTGGTTCGGATATTGTTTTGGTGCTGAGTCAAATTAGTTATTGTTGTTTGTTCTTTTTATGTTTTCGTCGGAGCTGAATACATTTATTGTACACGACTCATGCATAATTAATCTGTTGGATTTTTGTTCGTGTTTATACGGAATAATTATAATGTTAAATTGAAAAAAACTAGTTATTATAAAAGTAGATGTGTAGTTGAAGGAATAATTTCACTTTTAAGGTTTAAAGAAGTTGTTTTCTTGCAAGGCCCAACAATAATGCAAAATGTAAGTAGCCCAAAGCCAAAAAAACCAAAAAAAAATATACGTAGATTTTGTCCCTTACACCCCTGTCACCTCTATACAATGTATAGATTGTCAGTTGAGTAGTTAAGTCGTAAATGTTTATTTTTCATTAAACTATTGGAATAAAATACAGATCTTTAAACTGTATTTTAAGTAGCAAGGGAAATAAGGAAAATATTGGGAACATCGTTAGCTTATGTCTATTAAAAATTTCCATCACTTCTTATCGTGGCATTGTTGCCGGTGAACACTCAGACTTAAAGTACTTCGCATGCTCTGCGGATAGTTCATCGCTAGAGTTAAGTATTTTTTTCAATAAGGGTTAACAGGTTATCAAACTAATTAGATTTTTTATTTAAGTAGATTTTTTTCTTTTTAAACAAGTCGCTTAAAAATAAATTTTCTTGTCTTCCGTAGGATAAACTTAAGAAATGTGAAGTAAAAAAGCGAAGCTGGGGCGGGTCTCCAGTATATTTATAATTTTCTGTATTGATTGGAGCAAATTTCAAATTTCTATTAAAAAAGTGAACATTCTACACTTATTACCATACACCTCGATTTTGCTGATGAGGTGTGCTTCTACAATTTTATTCAACGCTGGCATTCAAAACATTCTCTTAATTAAAAATTAACTTTCATGGTGACTTTTTGAAAATGTTTCGCATAATTTAAATATCAATCCCATCCTCGGGTGAGAAATTAAACATTGAATAAAAATTCAATGTGTTGTAACATTGGCTTATTCCCCAATTTCACGTCGTATCAACTCTCAATTTATTAATCCTGAAAAGTCAACATTGTTATATGAATGTGGATCGTTATGGTTGGATCAAGCCAAATGATTTAATTAGTGAGTATATTCCAGATTTCGTTAGTTTTAAATGAATCTGAATGAATGAAGCAGGATTGCTAAGTGAATCCTCGTTAAAAATATTACACCGATAACTTAAATGTTCTTTGATCTAAATATCCTACTAAATTAATTTCAATATTTCCTAATATACATAGATAACTATAAACATCATCCAACATATATGTAAATTAAGGTTCAGTCAAAGCACGGCATTCAGCCCACTATTGTTTTATTATGAATATTGATATAGATAATTAAATGGAAGGCATAATATTCATGTAACTAATCGAGCGTTATGTGATTATTGCATAGTCTATCTAATACAATGAATACGTCAGGCTTAACAGGTATATTGTCAAATTGTCATGTTACTGTTCAATGTAGTCGTACCTACATAAAGTACATGGAGTGCGATAACTGAAGCATCGTAACATTACACTGATAAACATATGTATTTGAATTTCAGTTAGTTTGTAAGACATTTGATTTAGCAGCTTTAGTGAGACAATTTGGGAAGAATTCAAATACGGTTAAATGCACACATTTCAGTTTCCGATGTTTACTTTAAAGAATAAATTTATTAGAGAATTGGTGACCTATTAGTTATATGGAAAGCTAGAAGCAAAAATAGACAGTTTATTAAATAAATATTTCACCAAGTGGCGATGATATTGTTGCGCCATAGGTTTACTTGGTTTTTGTACTGAGAGATACAGGAAACGATTACCTTGCACTTAAACTTTTTAGTGATCATCATCTCAATCGAAAGACGTCCACTGCTGGACATAGGCCTCCCCTAAAGTTCGCTACAACAACCAGTCCTGTGCTGCCTGAAACCAACGGATTCCCGCGACCATCACCACTTTGTTGGACTCTGCCCACGCTGCGGTTTCCAATACTTTTTGGTAATTCCAGGATATTTAAATTACATGTTAATCAACAATTTACACTTGCCATTTAAAATAATATAGTACAGTACCATAACTGTAGGCAGAT